CATCGACCTAAGCACGCGTCGTGACGTTGACACCTGAGTGATCTGCTTCGACCCGCAGACGATCAGGATGCCATAGCCGTGGTGCTTCGTTGACGAGAGTCCAACAATGTCGAGTTAGTACTTTATGGCTTCATCAACTAACTCATTCTCTTTCCCTCTGAGTTAGGATATATTCCAATTTACGACTATTCTCCCACTGTCAGTTTCTTTCCCGGGGGAGTCTTATCTGACATGCTCTAATGGCATTCTGTTTTGTGCCTTATTCTTTCAGCACCGGGTGGTGACTCCGTTGTATCTTCGTCGTCTTTCTGTTTGGCAGCCGTTGTCGTGCTGCTACGCCTCAGCTGCTAGAAAGCGAGAAGGAATTTCTGATCAAGGACGTTCCTCTCGTTCTTCTCGTTCTCTTGGTCACTCCGGCGATGACATAGCGAGTATAACATGTTCGATGGCGGCAATGACATGGACAGGTTTCTAAGTTTTCCGGTAGCCCTCGCCAATTCTGCTCTCGTCCTGGTTTTATCTCCGTGTTTGGGACCTGTAACAGCATAGTTTCCGTAGTTTCCTAGAGTGGCGATTGTAACACTTTGTTATGATTTGTTGAGAGAAGATATCATTTGCGAATGGCGGAGAACAAACCTCGCAAAGTCACCAGAAGGGACTAGGCCACCATTTCCAATCCCTCATTTAAATAAAAGTCAAGTCTATGATGCTGTAATTTGATTTTGTCTTTAATAAGTTCAGTATTCATAATGGGAAATCATTGTTAATGATATTGTTCATCCATTTCTACGTTCTTGAGAAGCGGCTTAAGTGAAGTGAATTTATCTTCATCTTCTTCATCTTCCATCGCCACTTCTCCTTTCAGGTCTCGGAGGCAGACGCGTCAGCCAGAGCTTCCAATGTTCCCGATCCTGTGCCAGTCTGAGCTTCGGCAAAAGACAAATGCAGTCTGGAACAGACTCCTTCCATATGTTTGCACCAGGTTATTCTTGGCCGTCCCCTGGGCCTTTTGCCGTTCGGATTTGCAAGGAACAATTGTTTAGCTTTCCTTTCTGGAGGCATTCGCTACACATGTCGAAGCCATCGCAGCTGTGACTTCTCAGTCTGGAGAAGCAAAGGCTGTAATCCAAGGCTCTTCCGGATGTCA